TTTTGTAGAGTAATATGTATATAACTGAAACTAAACAGTTTGCTCTTGGTACAAAAACATTAACACTTTTACCAGTATTTATCAAAATGTTGCAAAAATAAGTTTTTTAAATCCATTTCATGGCATTTAAATTATAATCATCAAAGAGTACAATGGACTAATCTAAGTACTGTACTTAGGTTAATGAACAATGATGATATATGTCAGCCTTCACATCCAGGAACAAAACACTTGTGTCCTGCTAAATAAGAAAATAATGAAGAACAGTTTTATCATTTATTGTACTGAATGTGATAAAGCAAGAATTACTTGTGAAAGGGTTATGTAGCACTCTGTGCACTAAATTTCTGTTCCAACTGAATGCCACATTAGAACACAGTTATTTAGTTCTATAAAACAAATGCCACATTGTATATGCAATAAAATGATTAACGTACTGGCAAAAGAAATAAACCTAAATATGTACTGTATTACAACTTAACCACTGTGATACAATAAACACTAAAATTGAAAAAACACTAATGGCAGTGGAAGCAACTGCTACATTTCTTTAAGCATTACAAGAGGTCTCACCTTACAAACAAGTTGAATTCCTGCTGCCTCACCTTACAAATGAGTTTGTACAATACTGTTATTATATTTAAAAATGCTAAATTTAGCTGTATAGGACATACAGTGCTACAGGTAGTTGTACAAAAAAGACAATAATACAAAAGACATTCATGTTCCACACACTTGTACTACATACAGATTGACCAATGTAAAAATGTATATAGTTCTCAAGTGCCCCATTCGTAAGTGTAGACGTTTATAAGTTTGGGCATTTGTAAGTCGGTTACCTCCTGTATATCCATTCTGTACATGAGGACTCTAGAATCTTGAGTGCTCATGACATCTAGAGTCTAGATGATGAAAATAAAATATGCTTTAGTATTTAAATAAAAAAAAAAAAAGCAGAAATGCATTCAGTACTTCATGTGACGACAAGACAATAAATGAATGAAAATACAAATAAAAATGTTGAAGAACCAATGAGACAGTTTAGGAAAGAAAGTTTAACATCTATTATCCTGAGATGAATTTTAATGATAGATTTTAATTAAATATTTCATGATCACTATCCTCAAAGTAACTATGCAGAAGAGAATGGATTCCTGTTTTATTAAACAAAATAAAACAGTGATACTCAGTATATAATGACTAAATAATTATTTATTGAACTCTTATGCTGACTAGAAAAAACAAAATGCAAAGTAACATTACACAACTACAGTATCACAATATAGTATTCATCCAATAAATTTAGGTATACAGGTACTGTATAAGCTTACTGTATACTTTGGCAAGATAGAATACAGTATACTGTACAACTAAAGGCAAATACAGCATAATACTTTGGACATGTGAAAACAAATTACTAAATGCTTTCTAATATTATTTAACATGTAATGCAAATTATATTTGATGTGAATATTATTTATTACCTGCTTAGAAATAGATGCTAAATATGTATGTACTGAAAAAAAATACATAAATTTCTGGAATCACTATACTGTATAGTATATAGCTGAAAATAATGGAATGACTTCGTAGCATTGTTAAAGCAATGACACACGCACCCCACACACAGCAAGATCACATTACTGTCTAATAATGTTTTATATTAGTCATTGTAAATTGCCTTTTCAATATGAGTTACTAAGAGATTTTTGTGTGTGTACTCATTTACTTGTACTGGTAAGGACAGGGTTCCAGCTCTTTATCTCTGGAGTCAGTTCTTACTATGGTAATTCCTTCCTTGGTGCATATCACTTGCTCACACTGAAGTTCCTTCTTATAGTTTTCACATATACTGGTTTTTAGCTTGCAATTGCATCCCCTCGTCCTGGTGCATCCACGAGCGAACAATTTATTTACTACCCTGTCACTGCTGTACCTCTGAATCATCTGTAGTGGCCATATTACCTGTTACTTTCATTATGCTGCATATTTCAATGAAGATAATGTTTTTGTGGGTGTCTTGCAATAGGTCTGGTATTTTGTTTACCCCAGGTCTTTCTTTCTGACACTGGCAGTTGTCTCTTACTCAGTTATCATAACACTAGTGTCCTCTCCTTTCATCTTCATCACTTTGCATTTATTATAGGTAGAACTGAGCACTTATTTATTTGATCATTTTTACAATCTGTCCATATCATCTTGCATCTTTTTTTGCAATTCTATTCTATCTGTATTTTTTCACATAAGCTTTGTCATTCAAAAACAAGAACATGTAAGAATTTTTATGCCTTAGCAGATCACTGATGTATATCAAGAACAATATAAAACAGAGAATTTATCCTTGGAAATTCTTTGAGTGTTACTTTCCATTCTTTCGTCTCTCTCACTTTGGCAGATTTCTTGTTGCAGGTGTTATTTTATCCAACATTGTATCATTCCTGATATCCGTATTTTTCAGTTTGTAAATTAGCTGTATGTGAATCACTATGTTGAATACCTCTGACAGTCCAGGAAATACAGTCAGCCCACCGTTCCCCGATTTGTTTTATTGCCATGCACTCTCCTTCTCTGAACGAATACTACAGACCTGTTGTGACTCCCATCTTCTCCAGGTGGGCTACTCAGAATTTTTCTTACGTTTTTTTTTTTTTTTTAGTTGGGGTGTGAGAAAAGTCACATTTAGGAACGAATTCTGGGAAACTAATTAACCAAATCTGAGTCCTGGTGGGAAGTACAGTGCCTGTAATCTGAAGGAGGGGTGAGGATACAATTTTGATAGTCATTTGAATTATGCTATCTGCATTCATCTGGTAAAGCAGATATTAAATGAATGATGGTGAAGGGTTCTTTTTTGGGGAAGGGAGAAGGGTAAGGGAAGCACCCGAAAATGATGGAAGACGCCCGATGTGGTAAAAAAACTTGTCTATAGTTCAAGAATCTCTACCAGTCTCTTGAATATTGGCTCAACAATTTTAGTTTTCCATCTTCCTCCATACATTCCAGTGTGTGTGTGTGTGTGTTTGTGTAAGACAATATATGTACTTCAGTTTACAGTAACACAACATTGAACATATTTCAGTATAAAGTAACATTACAGCACATATTATAAAGGCCTTTTACAATCACTTTCTCTTCATCTTACAATGTGTGGGCACAGATAATTACCTAGCAGCATAATTTATTTAATACCCCATGCATTACGCATCATAAGGTCAAAGTACGCATCTTGATCAATTGAAGCACTAATTCCGGAGTAATAGTCGTAGAACTCTTCCTTGGTCAGCTAAAATAAAGAAAGAAAACAGCTATTACAGATGATGCAAATGTAAGTGAGCATCTGCTATCATAAAGGGAAGACCATAAATACTTTCCCATTAAAGCTTAATCATAGTGTAATGAAGATAATAATAATTATATTCAGGAGGAAGCACCAATATCATAGTCCAAATATTGAACAAGAACTAATGCAAATAATTTAATATGATTTACAAAATAAACTCTTAGTATCAACACAAGATACATGTGCACTGAGAGGTGACTGTCTCTGTGTATATATAGCGAGAGTCTACTTTAATCCTTAATTTAGGGATTAAGAGATTAAGTATTTTTGACTATTGGTAAACAGGTTATATGCTGCCTTAATTAATGCCCCTAGTGTAGACAAGAGGTTTTAAACCCCATTAATCAATTAGTATAAGCAGCATAATGTATACACTGAGAAGTGTCTCACAGTAAACATACACTCAGGTTATATATACTGAGGGCTTACTCTCATCCTTAATTTAGGGATTAAAGTTATTTTTGATTGGTGAACAGATTACATGTACTGTAGTCTTAATCGCCCTTGTGTTCTAGACAGACTAAGCCCAACCAATCAACCAACCAACACTAACAAGTTTTCCATTACCCACCTTTCCATCAACAGAAGTATTATTTTCAAACTTCTTGATTACAGTCTCCAGGATTTGCTCTTCTGTCATCTCTCCAGACTGATACTTAGGGTGTTTCTGCACGGAATACACTCCCTTCAGATCTTCCAATGTTACTACCCCATCGTCTGTTTTGTCTAGCTTGTCAAAAGCCATATCTACTAACTTCTTTCTTCTTTCATTCATTTTTGGCTGTTTTGAATAATAAAAAATGTTAGTACAACATTCAAAATGCATTCTACAGATGTTACGCTAAAATTTCTACGTAAATGTTTTTATCGTATATTTTTAAAATGTCACTAGAATTGTATGTGAAATATTTTGTCTGAAATTGTAACCTATGGCCCAGTGCTAGAATTTGGCTTGCAACTAAAGTAATGCAGGCTTTATTCCTGGGAGGGCAAAACATATAGCCATATCTCATAAGTTATGCAAAACAAGGCAGAATAGATACTTAAATAGTTTTGCTTATACGTAAGGCACTCATAACCTTAAGTAACATTACCAAAAAATTTTGCCAACTAGGGACTTTATCAATACAAGAGACAGAATAACCAGAAAATACATAGTAGTGACTAGCAAGGTCAACTATACCTGGAATTTACCTGGAGAGAGTTCCGGGGGTCAACGCCCCTGCGGCCCGGTCTGTGACCAGGCCTTCTGGTGGATCAGAGCCTGATCAACCAGGCTGTTACTGTTGGCTGCACGCAAACCAACGTACAAGCCACAGCCCGGCTGATCAGGAATTGACTTTAGGTGCTTGTCCAGTGCCAGCTTGAAGACTGCTAGGGGTCTGTTGGTAATCCCCCTTATGTATGCTGGGAGGCAGTTGAACAGTCTCGGGCCGCTGACACTTATTGTATGGTCTCTTAACGTGCTAGTGACACCCCTGCTTTTCATTAGGGGGATGTTGCATCGTCTGCCAAGTCTTTTGCTTTCGTAGTGAGTGATTTTCATGTGCAAGTTCGGTACTAGTCCCTCTAGGATTTTCCAAGTGTATATAATCATGTATCTCTCCCGCCTGCGTTCCAGGGAATACAGGTTCAGGAACCTCAAGCACTCCCAGTAATTGAGGTGTTTTATCTCCGTTATGCGCGCCGTGAAGGTTCTCTGTACATTTTCTACGTCAGCAATTTCACCTGCCTTGAAAGGTGCTGTTAGTGTGCAGCAATATTCCAGCCTAGATAGAACAAGTGACCTGAAGAGTGTCATCATGGGCTTGGCATCCCTCGTTTTGAAGGTTCTTATTATCCATCCTGTCATTTTTCTAGCAGATGCGATCGATACAATGTTATGGTCCTTGAAGGTGAGATCCTCCGACATGATCACTCCCAAGTCTTTGACGTTGGTGTTTCGCTCTATTTTGTGGCCAGAATTTGTTTTGTACTCTGATGAAGATTTAATTTCCTCGTGTTTACCATATCTGAGTAATTGAAATTTCTCATCGTTGAACTTCATATTGTTTTCTGCAGCCCACTGAAAGATTTGGTTGATGTCCGCCTGGAGCCTTGCAGTGTCTGCAATGGAAGACACTGTCATGCAGATTCGGGTGTCATCTGCAAAGGAAGACACAGTGCTGTGGCTGACATCCTTGTCTATGTCAGATATGAGGATGAGGAACAAGATGGGAGCGAGTACTGTGCCTTGTGGAACAGAGCTTTTCACCGTGCCTGCCTCGGACTTTACTCTGTTGACTACTACTCTCTGTGTTCTGTTAGTGAGGAAATTATAGATCCATCGACCGACATTTCCTGTTATTCCTTTAGCATGCATTTTGTGTGCTATTACGCCATGGTCACACTTGTCGAAGGCTTTTGCAAAGTCTGTATATATTACATCTGCATTCTTTTTGTCTTCTAGTGCATCTAGGACCTTGTCGTAGTGATCCAATAGTTGAGACAGACAGGAGCGACCTGTTCTAAACCCATGTTGCCCTGGGTTGTGTAACTGATGGGTTTCTAGATGGGTGGTGATCTTGCTTCTTAGGACTCTTTCAAAGATTTTTATGATATGGGATGTTAGTGCTATCGGTCTGTAGTTCTTTGCTGTTGCTTTACTGCCCCCTTTGTGGAGTGGGGCTATGTCTGTTGTTTTTAGTAACTGTGGGACGACCCCAGTGTCCATGCTCCCTCTCCATAGGATGGTAAAGGCTCGTGATAGGGGCTTCTTGCAGTTCTTGATGAACACGGAGTTCCATGAGTCTGGCCCTGGGGCAGAGTGCATGGGCATGTCATTTATAGCCTGTTCGAAGTCATTTGGCGTCAGGATAACATCAGATAGGCTTGTGTTAACCAAATTCTGTGGCTCTCATAAAAAATTAATTTTGATCTTCGACTCTCAGTCTGGTTAGTGGCTTGCTAAAAACTGAGTCATATTGGGACTTGAGTAGCTCACTCATTTCCTTGCTGTCATCTGTGTAGGACCCATCTTGTTTAAGTAAGGGCCCAATACTGGACGTTGTTCTCGACTTTGATTTGGCATAGGAGAAGAAATACTTTGGGTTTCTTTCGATTTCATTTATGGCTTTTAGTTCTTCCCGCGATTCCTGACTCCTATAAGATTCCTTTAGCTTAAGTTCGATGTTTGCTATTTCTCTGACCAGTGTCTCCCTACGCATTTCAGATAGATTGACCTCTTTTAGCCGCTCTGTTATTCTTTTCCGTCGCCTGTAAAGAGAGCGCCTGTCTCTTTCTATTTTACATCTACTCCTCCTTTTTCTTAGAGGAATAAGTCTTGTGCAAGGAGAGGGGTACAAAATAGTTAATGATACTACCTGACAGCTGTGTCCTGAAGGGTTAAAATTAATTTAGCTAAAATTCTCAAAATGCTGAAGTGCTCCATGGTCTGTGCAAATCAGAGCACCTTCTAAAGGTTTATGTATGCTCTCTTCGTTGATAAGCTGGGCATCATCTCACTTCATCCAGTCGTCGTGCCTGCTCCTGTGAACAACAGTGTCAATACTACAGGTGTAGCAATGATCATAAGTACACATAGACTTTCTCGAATTCTCCAGCTGGGTTTCTTGCTGCTAAGGTCCCTAATGGTAGTACTGGCAGTAGTGGCTACTTTAAAACTACATCTGGAGAAGGCATTAGAAATATTATGAGCCACTTTATTGTTGAAGAGGATCATAAAACATACCAGCGATTTGTCTAGTTCATGGGTGTTAATGATCCGCAGAGCACGTCTAAACTATTGATGAAATGAGAAAGGAAAGTGTAATTCAGAGAGGATCCGGTGAATGTAGTCTCATTCCTCAGGGCATTCAGGGCTACATGTCCTGTAAGCCCTCAGACAAAATCAGTGACAACTCTGCGTTTTGTCTTGCTGTCATAGTCCTAGTGGAAGTACAATATATTCTTTTTAATTGGTTTCTGGTACATTTTGAAAGACAGCTTATTGCACAGTCGACACGGGCATGTCGAGGACGTGAAGTGGGTGGGTGGGTGATGTTGAAGATTCTTGGTACTATGAGGAGGATATCGTGCACATGCCACAACCATGTCACATTATTGGTAATGAAGGTTGTCATTTTTTCTGCCTCCACATACTCCATATACAAGTTAGTCACTACTGAACTAATGGGGAATCCCACTGTCATGCCAAAGCATTGCCTGTACTGAATTACCAATATTGAAATCTCCAAGGAGGTGCTGACAAGCTTACCCGAGAAACCCCAACTATTGATTATGAGGCTAATGAGTATTAAACACGTGGGGGGATTGGGAAGCACACACACCAGTCTCTTTGACCCCTGCACCACATAATTTGAGGGGAAGTTACAGCTTTAATGACGTGCGAAAACACCCCTGCAACCACAATTAGGTGAGTACAGCTATGAATCGGAGNACCCCTGCAACCACAATTAGGTGAGTACAGCTATGACTCGACCCCTGCAACCACAATTAGGTGAGTACTGACACACATTACATGCAAAACAACTACTGTGGAAAAATAGTGAACTTCCAAGCGCTTTCGTGATTTCTCACAATATCAAGAAACTGTAAAAAATAATAGAATAGCAGAAGGTTTATAAGGCCGAGACGAGATAACACCTCACATTCAACATCTGACACCTCACCCGTCGGGCGGTGTCGAGGGATACCGTACCACTCCACCTTCAACATAGTTACTAAGCTTACCCTTATGGCTACAAGGAATTCTTCATAATTGACAGTGCCTTCGTTATCCTTATCAAACGCCTGGAAAAGCTGTTCTGTCTCCTCATCACTGAGTCGGAGACCAGTTTCCCTGATGCCCTTGCTAAACTCTTCCATATTCAGGTTGTGAGAGCCATCATCATCCATCCTACGGAACACTCTGAAAAATAGATCAGTATAAACCGTAAGTTTAAGTACAACACAAACCAGTATGAGAAGTGCAGGTTCAAGGACAACACGGACCAATATGAGGACAGGTTCAAGGACAACATAGACCAGTATGAGAAGTACAGGTTCAGCAATATTTTAAGTTATACTCTCCTGTAATTAACTCCGAGTACATATTTGAAAAGGAGGCTCAGTGGCATCGTTTTATGACATACTAATGTAATTAACTTAAGATTTTCAAGAAAGGCACACAAAAGATGTGTGTGGGTGTAGCAAGAAGACGAACTAATAATATAAGATAAACTAATCTTTATTCTCATCAAGTACATATGGTTTTACAGTCTGTAATTATTGTACACTTACACAATTGTTGCAATAATCACAGTTTCAGGCACCAATTATAACCAAAAATAACACACCATTTCGGTGTAAATTATTTCCACTGTGGTTCTCGTTAAAATGAGGTGAAAAGAAAACGAGAAAAGATACGTCAAGCAATATTAACTTCATAAGTTACTTGTTTGTTGTAGGATAAACTGAAAGGAAGTCCTCCATGTCGGTAGGCCATAAAACATTACAAAACAGACGACAGCTGCACAGTTGTTAAATACATACATATATAATAATCCTAGGACGGCTAATTCACTCTATGATCACCAACATTCTAGAAATAAGAGAAACATAAGAATAAAAATCTAAAGTATAACTAATCCATACACTGCATGACTCATAATGTCATATTCAATGATATTTAAGTTTGGCTTTGTTTACCTATGACAATTTAGTTTTGAAGAGCAATATTAACAGAAACAAAATACAAGTAATTATTTTCAAAATAATTACAGACAAGTGAGGGACAATGCAGGCATAAGAGAAACATTTTACAAAGGCCACATTACTCTCAGCATTTAAAGCAAAATTTAATCTAATAGCTTTATACATACGTATTTCATACATTCAGAAATCTTCTTTCAACACACCGGCCGTATCCCACCGAGGCAGGGTGGCCCAAAAAGAAAAACGAAAGTTTCTATTTATAAATTTAGTAATGTATAAAGGAGAAGGGGTTACTAGCCCCTTGCTCCCGGCATTTTAGTCGCCTCTTACGACACGCATGGCTTACGGAGGAAGAATTCTGTTCCACTTCCCCACGGAGAGAAGAGGAAATAAGAACAAGAACTAGTAAGAAAATAGAAGAAAAAACAAAGGGGTGGGTATATATATGCTTGTACAAGCATGTGTAGTGTGACCTAAGTGTAAGTAGAAGTAACAAGACGTACCTGAAGTCTTGCATGTTTATGAGACAGAAAAGTCACCAGCAATCCTACCATCATGAAAACAATTACAGGCTTCCGTTTTATACTCACTTGGCAGGACGGTAGTGCCTCCTGGGTGGCTGCTCTCTACCAACCTACTACCTAGACATTCAGAAATATAAATACAAAAATCGAAAGCTGACTCTCCAGTTCCTCAGGCACTCTGATGGGGGTTGAGCGCTTCTCCCCCTGAATATAATAAAATTAATAATAATAATGGTAATGCTAGTAAGGGGGTGGGATACTTACTTGCCCATGCCCAAGATGCCAGCAGCACCGCGGCTCAGGCAGAGCAGCCTCAACTTCTCGACGGGGTCAGTGGTCTGAGAGATCTTCCTACGTGCGACCGCCATCATGTCCTCCTCGTTCCTAGTGGAAGCTGTCCTCGGCCGGTTTGCCATACCGTTGCTGCAGAAAGAATGTAACTGTGAATTATACTAAACAAAACGTTAAACCTGTGCGGGGTCATTCACTGCAAGATGTGGAGGAGGTTCTGCTCTTTGTCTACTAATATGACCTAGTCACATGCATCAAGAATGTATTACTGCCCCACAAAAGACCACAACAGCAATACTGTGATACTAGAAGCACTATTAATAAAGGCTTACACCAGTACCCTATAATTTAATAAGCCTCGCCCTATATTAATGACATATTTCTTTCGTCCTTTTTTTTTTAACAGATCTACCTTACACTGTGTCACATCACAGAGGTGTCGAAAAGATATTACAAGATTTTTCGCAGAGTTGTACAACAGAATGAATATGTGCTACAACTACTGCATATTAAAAAAAAAAAAAATTTACGATAACCTAAATAGTGAAGACTACACAACACGAGATTAGCTAAATTTTAAAAGGTAAGTAAAACTGGATAATTACATAGTCTACAAACCACGGAACGGGTGGGGTTTGAACCCATGGCGAGTGAGCCGTAAAACTCCGTGCCAGTGAGTAAACCACTGGGCCAAGAGTTTTACCATTCACTCGCTATGGGGTTCAAATCCCACCCGTTCCGTGGTTTGGAATCTTGTTATTACGAGTTTGTGAGTCTTGATAACTCTTAGTGAAACTGACCCCAAGTCTGCTTAAAGTGCTATTACCATCATATAGTTTAACTTTACTGTAAAATTATCAAGATACTGAGTTAAGATATAACGATAAATCATAAAATAATGAGTTGTATAATATATGCACTGGTTCAAACTGTTTCAAAATGACACTGTACAAGATTGTTATAATATATTGCTCTGGAGACAGGACAAGTGTCTCCTGGCACAGGTATTGGTCGTGCAGATGACCCGTTATTAATAGGAATTACACTGTACACGAGGGACAACGGTTGCTGTCATGGTAACTCAATGGAAAAATAATCGTACTGCCATAATAATACTGTAACACTATACTGTAGTAGTGGAATAAACGTCACTAAACATTTGTATCTATATTTAAGATCCTATTAATACTGTGTGTTAGACCCTTAAAAATAAAAATTATCAATTATTAATACAATAATATAACATAGTCTAAGTTTTGACCTAAATACTATGCACCATACTGTACGTAGTATTTCGGCTCATATGTATGAGCCTTCACATTATTTTATGTTTTATACAGTAATTATGATATAAAGATTTGTATTTGTATGGGCAAATTATATGAAGGGGTAAAGAGTGGTGCTCCATGGTGTGTGGCAAATGGTAAAGGAGGCTGGCTTTCCATGGTGTATGGTACTACGTATATGGTAATGAGTGGTGTTCCATGGTGTGTGACACATGGTAATGTGTGGCAGTCCATGTTGTGGAAGATTTGAGTACATTTGTGTTTGTAAATAATAATAACGAATATAATATATGCAAGAATAAACACCAGCTATTAGAAAAATGCTGAGTATTGCAGTTTTACTGAGGAGGGTCTTAACCTGATTAACCGCATACAAGATTTTTAACTAGTAGTTATCTGTGAAAAAATGCCCTGACATAACTGGGAAAGTGGGGAGATGGATCTTCAACTTCCTAACAAATCGAACACAAAGAGTAGTGGTCAACAGAGTTAAATCGGAGGCTGCCATAGTGAAGAGCTCTGTTCCACAAGGCACAGTACTCGTCCCCATCTTATTCCTTATCCTCATATCAGACATAGACAGAGATATACACCACAGCACCGTATCATCCTTTGCGGATGATACTAGGATCTGCATGAGGCTGTCATCTGCTGAGGACGCGGTTAACCTCCAAGAAGATATAAACAAAGTTTTCCAGTGGGCAACGGTAAACAATATGATGTTCAATGAGGACAAATTCCAACTACTCCGTTATGGAAAACTGGAAGAGATAATAACTAGAACAGAGTATACTACAGACTCTGGCCATACAATAGAGCGGGAAAATTAATGTAATGGGACCTGGGAGTAGTAATGTCTGAGGATCTCACTTTCAAGGATCACAACAGTGCCACGATCGCACATGCAAAGAAAATGATAGGATGGATAATGAGAACGTTCAAAATCAAGAGATGCCAAGCCAATGATGATCTTTTCAAATCACTTGTTCTCTCTAGGCTGAAATACTGCTGTTACATTAACATCTCATTCAAAGCAGGGTGAAATCGCAGAATCTAGAGAGTGTACAGGATCCTTTACTGCACGTATAAGTTCTGTCAAGCACCTTAACTTACTGGGAACGCTTTGAAGCACTTGACTTGTTTCGTTGGAACGCAGGAGGGAGAGATTATATCATAATCTACACTTGGAAAATCCTGGAAGGAATGTCCCAAATCTGCACACAGAAATCACTCCCTACGAAAGTAAAAGACTGGGCAGGCGATGCAAAATGCCCCAATAAAAAGTAGGGGCGCCATTGGTACACTAAGGGAAAACACCATAAGTGTCCGGGGCCCAAGACTGTTCAACAGCCTCCCATCAAGCATTAGGGGAATTGCCAATAAACCCCTGGCTGCATTCAAGAGAGAGCTGGACAGATACCTAAAGTCAGTGCCGGATCAGCCAGGCTGTGGCTCGTACGTTGGACTGCGTGCGGCCAGCAGCAACAGCCTTGTTGAACAGGCCCTGATCCATCGGGAGGCCTGGTCATGGACCGGGCCGCGGGGGCGTTGATCCCCGGAATAACCTCCAGGTAACCAGGTACATGTCATGTGCCGTCAATCTACGTTAATAAACGATCAATGGCTGGGGGTATACGTTAACCAGCTGGTAAAGTTCACGAGAATCATTTCACGACAAGATCAATGCTCCCCACTTTAGAATGCTAATCTGTTTGGTAACTTCGACCTCGTCCAGGTGGTATAACCCTTATGATGGACACTAAAGTTGTATCAGCTAGGCACTCTTGACGATGTTAGATAGGTACACCTTGGGTATGTATTAGCTAGTAACTCTTAGGGATGTATTAGCTACGTACTCTTGAGGTACCGAACACGCCATACAGCTGGGAAATATTGGACTGGAACTAAAGTGACTCCTAGCTCAGTGAAAGAGAGCTTCATTCACTCACAACCGATTAGACACGGGTTCAATCCCTGGGTGAGGCGAAACGTACTGGTAAGTCTCCTTATACTTACTACCCCTGTGCACCTTGCATTATTGAAAGACCTAAGAGTTACTACCCCTGTGCACCTTGCATTATTGAAAGACCTAAGAGTTAGTCAGGTACTGCGGGTCCCATCCTAGGGGAAAAAAAACTATAGGATTGCTCTTGAAATAAGCCACATTTCTTGGGTCATTAACTCTCGGGAGTTGTTTCTTCACGAGACAATTAAGGGAAAACAAAATGGTTTTCAAGGTCGCGGTGAAAATATTAATGTTCAAAATTACATGGTAACATCTGGTTTATAAAAAACGGATCTAAATTTTCAATTGTGTTCAATGACCCATGCAGCTTTAGCGCTTTTTTATGAATATAATAATAATGTGTTTTATCGGCAAAACAGCTTATTTGCTTTTAAACGGTATAATAATTAGAGAAAGATTTATTACTAAATATATATGCTATCTTAGCATTTCCCGATCCTTATATTTGGCACTTACCAACATAAATTCAGAAAACCCTTTATCACTATTTATTCAATTTATCCAAGTCTTCTTGTATGGATTTACAGTAATTTTTAGTGCTTATTTTGCATATGATTCCTGCGTCATTAAAAAACAAAAAGGCACAATACCATGACTAGAACAATACACGAATAACCCGGACAGAAACGTCATCGTAAGTTCTTCTCTCCTATCTGCGGGTTATTTGTGCGTCATTAACATAGTCATATAGATTTTTGTTCTTTCCGGCAAGGCATTATATGGATTAGAAACATTACCAACATTTGTGTGGGTTAGAGGTAGGGATGAGGTGGCTCACCCAGGTCGCGTGAGATACCTCACACACTAACACACGCCATGCCAAGTTACTTCTGATGTTTCCACGTATCACTACTCATTGTGCATGCCTTAACACCAGACAGTTTGTTGGGGTATCAGTCTTATGGAACGGCCTTGCTCATATGATCAGAATAGTCAGTGGCGACTTTTTTTTTTTTTTCCCTGGTGGCAGTTTGGATATCAATAATACAAAAATTTATAGTCATTTCTTGCGGGGTTTCTGATGGTAGAATTTTATTCTGTTAAGTGACTTGGCTTAATATACCCATGTAATATTTCCACAACTATAGCCATGAAGGTCTGGGTTTTTAAGTTTTTAGTTTAATATGTTTATTATGCACCCCATACCCATCCTGTGGGCGGTAGTCAAAAGATTACAGAGGTACATAATTGGTCCAGGGACTGGACTCGAAAGTTTTGATAGCTGAGCAAGTTACAGAGGTAATGAATTCACATGAAGGTCTGGGAAGCAAGTAATTTCAATTGCCGTTCAACACCACCTTGATTGCATGTACGGTCGACCGAAACTAAAATATGATATTGTGTCCAAAGTTAATAAAAAAAAGTGGACAAGTCAGAAACGGTACAGAGACGAACTACTGAGTTGCTTCCCCGATCACCCCTTCCCCCTCAAAAAAAAATGTATTTCGGTGACGGTGAGAACTGAGAGTATCCACGTATTGCATAACCTCACTCCTTTCTACGTCAATGCAAGCAAAAAATATTAGTGCAGAGTGCTGATTAAGTTTCTAATGCAATTATACATGAGCATTGAAGATTTAAAGTTAATATCCCATTTTATTCAATAAAAATGGCAAATTAGAAAATTCACTGCCCAAAACTTATTCCGACTCCATCAAGAAGCATGAGCTTTGAAGATAAACTGAAGAAACATTCTCCTGTTATCTCAGAAAGATCAGTATCTTGAAATGCACCAGCATATTAAGTTTAAAGCCACTCAGAATTTGCTTTATTGAGTAACCAACGATGAAAGATGAATGAAGCCAACTGGATGAGGCACTCAGAAATAACCTCAGGAAA